TCAATCTTCTTAGGATTAGTTTTTCAAATAATTTGGATACAACCGGAAGCAAACTTATGGGTCTGTAGGACGAGACCTCATTTGGTGGTTTGCCTGGTTTTGGAATTACCACAAGTTGAGCTATCTTCAATTGAACTGGAAAATATTCTAGCCATAATATAGCGTTAAATATGAAGGTCAGCAATAATATTCCTTTTCGTGGCAATTCAGTGAATTTATTGCAAAGGAACAGTGGTTGTTCTTTAAGAGAAATTATCTTACTGTATGTTATATATCGATGTGTAAAATGCGGTCAAAATCACAATACGCTAACATGTAAAAAACCTATTTCTGAACCACCAAAATGCGCCTTATATGAAGGATCATCCTTCAAATTATAAAGGCTGTTCCGTATACAGAGAGATCAAAAACAATCTGCACCCTCCATTGAGAACCAAAGAGATCTCTGAACAATGCCAAAACAAACAACGAGAAAGCCTCTGCCGAAATTCCGTCCAGTTAATTCTTTTCAAATTGAAAATTCATTTTTTGTGCTTATTTTTAGCCTATTTTCTTAGCCTATATTCTGCACATCTACAGAAAAATATCTTTCTAACAGTATAGGTAGATTTTCCCTGTTATGCTCACGAGCTGAAAAAAGGTTTTAAAGAAACATACTTGCCTATTAATATATAGATAGATTTACAAAAAAGTTATTAATCTATTGATTGATTGATTCTGTAGGGGCAGACCTTGTCCTTTTGCACCTCAGCCACTTTTCACTCATGGTATCATGGGCACAGTACTCATGGTATTCTGGTGCACTCACCACATGGTGCATCAGAGTCTGTCAAACCTGAGTTGCTTAATGAACTTCAGCATCCTATCTATGAGCTCCTCCTGAGGAAGGTGTCTGTCCCTTGTCATTGCTCCAAGAGTACTGTCCCTCACCTTGTTCAGAGCTGTACAGTTATAGAGTAGGTGGTCTGCAGTCTCCTCTGACTACCCACATTTCCTACACGCAGTGTCTCCATTGTAGATCCTCAAGCGATGCAGGTGCAATTTCAGGAAATCATGGTCAGTGACCATTCCTGTGATCTGTCTGAGTTGCCTCCTGTCTAAACGTAGAGCATTGGAGGTGGAGGTGACCGTCTTGAAAGGGGAGAAGAGGGTGAGCTTACTTACCCTGTGGTGCTGAAGCCTAAATCATCTTTTCCTGTGTTCCTCCTGAGCCCATGACATGACAGAGTGACATGCATACCCACGAGAGATTCCACAGAAAGACTGTGATCCCACAAAGTCTGAGGCTGATGCGACATTTGCTAGCCTGTCAGCCACCTCGTTCCCTTCTATCCCTGAGTGCCCAGGAACCCAACAGCGTGTTACCTTGTTGCGCTCCATTGTGGATCCTCAAGCGATGCAGGTGAAATTTCAGGAAACCATGGCCTGTGACCATTCCTGTGATCTGTCTGAGTTGCCTTCTGTCTAAAGGTAGAGCATTGGAGGCGACCGTCTTGGAAGGGGAGAAGAGGGTGAGTTTGGTGTGGGAAGGCGAGCAGAGTGTTACCTTGTTGCGCCTGCTGCAGAGAGGCAGTCCTAGCCCATGTAGCACAGATGTGGGCCAACGTTGGTAAATTGTGGAGCCGCACAGTTGGCCAACGGTAGAAATGTCACCTCTTTAAACTATTTTCCAACCAACCATTGTCCAACAATGGCCCAACCATCCAAAAGTACTGATGGCCAACTAACCATAACACAACTGATATCCAACCTACCGTTTTATTTCACACAAAATAATAAAGATTTAGTATGAAAAGTATAATTATTAGTTGAATAAATTGATTAAAACTTTTGAACCGTAACTTTTATGAAAATGGGATTTGTACCATTTTATTAAAAATGTAGAAGACCATAACATACTAGTATTAATCGAAACCCGGTTTTTTTCTAAATTCGGATTTTTTTGTTATTTTACGGTGTTTTATGGGAAAATAACATAAATTACAATAACTTAGGAACCATAATTTTACGGAAATGAATTTTGTACCGTTTTGTTCAGAATTTAAAAGACTATAATATACTCAAATTTTATCAAAATCGTTCGGACTCTTTTTGAGAAAATCAATTTTTCCGCTATCTATGGGTTTTTATGATAAAATTACCATTAAAAATAAAAATTTCATAAAAACTAAAAATAACCCCTACCCAAATACAAAATTTCATCAAAATCGGACTACAGGTGTGGTCTGTAGCTCTGTACACATCCACACACACACACACAAACATCACTTCGAAAACAACTTTTTGGGTTCTATTCAGGGGGACCCAAAACGGATATATCCACTCAAAACTCAAACTCGAAAACTTTGACGAAAACATAATACTTTCTCCATAGGGGGAGAAATTAAAAATAGAGGTTATGATAGCATCCCAAAGACCCCACTCTTCAGGATTGGATCTCATGGCCATCATTTACTTTTTCCCTACAGAGATTATGTCAAATCAAATCAAATCAAATCAGTTTTATTTCCACAATATATAAAAAATTTACAATTTTTCAAAAAAATAAAATACAAATATATATAGCCATGAAGCATTATGAGTACATTGTTTACGTAAATTAATTCTAGTAAAATTAATTTATAAAGTTATAATAGTAAAAACTTAAATACTAGTTGAATGTTTGCTCCGGCTTGAATAATAACTAATGTAATATATAATGGAAATGAGTCTACATAGACCTCAGTGGTCTGTGCGTAGACTCGAGTTGTTAAAAATTATATATATTTTTTGAGCTAAATTGCAATTGAAGAAAAAGTTTTAAATTAAATAAAAATGTACTATGTGCTATGGGAACGTGTAAAGATAAAGATAAGTTTAAAGATTATATAAAAAATTGGAGTAAATATTAATTTAAATTTTTATTAACAGAATTGTTTAAAGGGGAAGCCAATAAATAAAATGGAAAAGGATTTTTTTTGGAAAAGAATTTTGTTGGTTGCAAGAGTTTGCAGAGGCCCTGTCCGTTAAGTGCTGTCAGACAGTGGCAGGTCTCCTGTTATCAGTAGTGATAAGAGCCTTGGCCTCTTCATCGCTGATATCCAATAACCATCTATTAACTCGATTTTTGAATACACCTAATGTAGGAGAATTAAATAACTGAGTTGCTTTATACATAGTGGAATAATTCCAGAACAAAATATGTGCTATGTAGAAACAATTTGTTTTTGAAAAGGATTTGTGCTGCTGAATAGTAGAAATTCCAATAATTCTATTTGCATATCTTGTATTATGAGTGTGGGTTATGGAAGTAAAAATTGAATTGAAGTTTTTAAATATAGCTTTTAGGATAGACTTTTGAACCAGAATCAGACCTGTGAGATGTGAACTGTACGCCCCTCCCCAAGCTAATATTCCGTAAGACAAAACCGACTGTACATATGCAAAATATGTTGATTTAATTTCTTTAAAACTGAGAACATCACTTAACTGTCTAAATGCAAGTATAAGTTTTCTAGTTTTATTTTGCAAGAAATTAATATGCTCTATCCATTTCATATGTGAGTCAAAAATTATTCCTAAATATTTATATGAGTTAACTCTCTCTAAGGTATCGCACGAACAACTGTTATTGAATTGGTTGAGACAACTGTGCAAGATCAAATTGGTTAGGTTATAGTCAGCTGTTGACGCGAGAGAAATAGGCATGAATTTTGTTTTGGAAACATTAAGAGATAGTACACTTTGGTCGAGCCATTTTTTTACTAATTTGAGATCTGACTGAGCTTTACTCTTCACACCTTCCCATGTCTTATCCTTAACATAAATCAATGTGTCATCTGCAAAAAGAAACATTTTTCCGAAAATTGGTAATTTAGAAATGTTATTTATATATATTAGGAATAAAATAGGCCCAAGGGTACTCCCCTGGATCACCCCATAGTCAACAGGCACCTCATCGCTATTGACTCCATCTATGTATACGAATTGTCGCCTATCTCTGAGGTAGCTTTCGAGCCATGAGAGAGCGTTCCCCCTTACACCTATAGCAGATAATTTTGAAATTAGATGCTTTATGTCTACACTATCAAAAGCTTTTTTGAGATCTAAAAAAATTAATACTGAGCGCAAATTTTCAGATAGAGCACTCAAAATTTCTTTGTTGACAGAGATAATGTAGAGAAGAGGTTTAGAGGGACGCCTCGAATCGAAGAAATTACTACTGTTCAAAGAGGATTAAGTTATCAAACTTCAATTTGCTTCACACACATTATCAGTAAGGCAAAAATCCCTTCAGTTATCATACTTTGTTGCAACATATTACGGACATGTTCACTGGAATTGAAGGAATGTTTAGCATTTATTAGAAGTAATTAATGGCAACTGAGAGCAAAAATTTAGGTGAATAAGATATATTTAAAATCAATTTCTATTAAGTTATTTAATAGCTTTAAGAACTTTGCTAAAATTACTAAAATTCAAGCACCAAGTTTTCCTCAATGTTGTTGTTCTTACTATGCGGCACAATGAGCCCTAGGGTTTCCTAGTTCCAATCATTGCAGCAGTTAATACAAAATATACAACAGCAACCAAATTTTAATACCACTAGTGCACCTGTTGCTCGAATTCGAGCGCAAAGTATTACTGGCGTTATTTCAAAACGAATAACAGTCATAAATATCCAATGACTTAAAAGAATCAACTCAAAGATAATGTAATCAATCACTCCACTCCAGTTATCGAAACTGAAAACGAACTCACTCTGAAAACGAACGCTCTTGTGTGTACTATAAACAGCTGTAATTAATACAAATGAATCATCTGTTTAAGTAAACAAAATCTTTTCATCATAAGAAATACATTGGGATTTTGATGGCCTGTGGGGCAAAGCCCGAGGACTTTTATGACAGGAATTTGTAAAAGGGGGGGACTGCACAAAAAATAATTAATTTTGACACATTGTTTGTATAAATTCGTCCATTATTAACAGAGGAGTAGTGTATTGTAGAAAACGCCTTCACATATTATATATAAGGATATCTTTAATCAGTGTATTATTATTTTCACCTGATATTACATACTCCCATAACTGTTGCTATTGGTGTTGTAATTCCATCTTTGCTTCTGATTTACTTGACAGCATAGCAGGCTGAATGAGAACCACATCTTTTTCTGTCATCCAGTATAAATGAAACTTTGATTGAATGAAGTTCCCTTCAACTCCAAAGGCTAAGCATTCCGATAACACTTTGAGAAGAATAGGTGACGGATGATTATCTATTGAGATACATTGGATATTAGTGTATTTAAAGTAAGGTGTAGATACCTATACATCTTATGATGAGTTTCGAGCAGTTAATTTGTAATTTAACCATTGGTGTAGTGGAGCAGGAACGTGTGGGAAAGGCGTTCCCACTATGTTTTATCCAACAATCCTATCGTTTAGTAGGGGACCTGTGTTTTTTTCAAGACGATAGTGATTGTTCCCACACTAGAAAATTACGACTTCACCGCTTAATTTAACCATTTGTAAAGGAAGCTGCCGAAAATTATGCACAGTTAAATTGCTCTAGGGTGGAACTGGGGAGCTGTTCTTCATAAAATGGGTAAAAGTTAATGAAAAACAATAACGTTTACTAAGTCTTTTGATGTACTTACATTTTGAAACTGGCCATTTGCTTTCAACTGTAAGTTAGTGAAATAGTCAATAAATTATATTTGAACTATACAGTATTGTAATTGACATTGTCATCTTCATAGTAAGACGATATAAGCAACATTAATAAACTTGATCATGCAAAAATATTCATCTATCTCTAGAGGTTATATCACAAACTTATACAAGTATCTAATAAGTTTTAGTTCAAGATAGTTTTGATCTCCTGTGTTTTATTATTTCTATATCTTACCTATTCAACTTTTACACATATAAAAAAAAAACAATTATTGGTTTTAGCGAATTTCCCATATAGGGAATAAGCTATTACCTTAGGTCTCATGGTAAGACGTGGACCCGGGACCGACTTACTTTTTCCTTTTGAGGTCCCTGGAGGCCAAAAACACCATCCGTTCAAATTCATATATATATATATATACTAGCAGAGTACCTGTCCTTCGTACGGGATTGGCGTTTAAGTATGAAATGCTTATTGCAGTTATCCTCAAGCTTTGTGTTTGCAATGGGGGAGGACACAATTTGATAAAATTTTCTTTTTTAAATTTACGGTATACTATAGTATCCTATCTACCATAGCCATAATATTCTACTACTTCACCTAAACAATAGAGAAAAATAAATTGTTAAAGATTCACAATATATCACAAATGATTCATGAAATTAAAAACATAAAAGTAACTGTAAACAATCCTACTTTGACAGTTCTCATTGCATAGGTATCATAGTTTTTTGTTGTTGCTTAGTTCAAATTAGCTGTTTCCATAAATGCAAAAAAAGTAATAGTGCTACACCCTGTTGGTAAATCTTATAACTTTTAATGCTTTTGCATACCATAGAACCAACTTTTTAAGTTGAAACAGCTGACTAAATTATTTTATTCCCTATATGAATACTCATAAGGTTAACATGGGGAACCACAGAGCCACTGGGGCGGCGGAGCTCGAAGGGATTTTTGAGATAAGAATATGCCTATATGTTAATCGGGAATGTGAGCTATAATCATGCCAAATTTCAGCCCAATCCGTCCAGTAGTAAATGAGTGATTGAACTTTAAACAAACAAACACACAAACTTTCACATTTATAATATTAGTAAGATATATATATCTATACTTCTATACTATTATATAAAACTCTGATGGTGTCTGTCTGTATGTGTATTACTAATAGGTGCAAAAACTACTGAACCAACTGGGCTTAAATTTTACAAAAATATAGTTACCATACCAAGGACCATTATAGGATTATTCACATTTCGATACTGACCATAGGCTTTGCCCCTTTGGCTTTAAAAGTTCTGAGGTGAACATTTTAAAAGTAAATATTGATTTGTCTCCATGGCTGCGATGAGAACACTAAAAATGTTTGTTTACATTTGCTTTGACATTTAAACGTAAACAAGAAGATCTGCTAAACTGCATACTGCATATTTCACAATTTCAGACAGCTGATACAATGAAATTAAATACAGGGTTAGTAAAAAGTGTGGAGACCCCCTGTTATTTTTTTAACGTCCCATACTAGAAAAACTAAACTCGGCACACTATTATGGCATGTTATGAAGTACTTTTTGGGCATAACCACCACTTGGTGTTCATCCCCAAAATGGGGGATTTTGGGGAAAACTAAAAAATTTCAAATACAAAGACCCATCGAGTGACCCCTCATTTTGAAGGTCCTGGTAAAAGAAAACCAACAACGCAAACTAGAGGTCTCTATCTCAGTTCAGTACAAAATGGCAGCCGATTGAAATTCTCATAAGTTCCCAAACCCAAAATGGGGGATTTTGGGGGAAACTCAAAATTTTTTAATGATAAGCCCCATTGAGTGACCCCTCATTTTGAAGGTTATAATAAAAGAAAACTAACAAAACAAATTATAGGTCTCTATCTTAACACAGTAAAATATGGCAGCCAGTCAATTGAATATAAAATTGCAAGTTATTTCCGATTTTAAAGATTTCAATCACCTTCCATTTTTTACTGAATTGAGATAGAAACCTCTAGTTTGCGTTGTTAGTTTTCTTTTACCAGGACCTTCAAAATGAGGGGTCACTTGATGGGGCTTATCATTAAAAACTTTTGAGTTTCCCCCAAAATCCCCCATTTTGGGTTTGGTAAGCAAGTGGCTATTAGGCTTAAAAAGTACTTCATAACATGCCAAAAAGGTGTGTAGAGTTTAGTTTTCCTAGTGTGAGCCGCTACAAAATTTACAGGGGGTCTCAAGACTTGGAAAGCTGCAAGTTAAATTCAACTTCTGAGAATTTCAATTGGCTGCCATTTTTTACTGGATTGAGATAAAGACCTCTAGTTTGCGTTTTTGGTTTTCTTTTACCTGGACCTTCAAAATGAGGGGTCACTCGATAGGTCTTTGTATTTGAAATCTTTTAGTTTCCCCCAAAATCCCCCATTTTGGGGATGTACACCAAGTGACGGTTATGCCCAAAAAGTACTTCATAACATGCCATAAAGGTGTGCCGAGTTTAGTTTTTCTAGTATGGGCTGTTAAAAAAATAACAGGGGGTCTCCACACTTTTTACTAACCCTGTATAATATTTCCCATAAGGTAGGTTTATTTTAATCTAACCTTTTATCATGGATTATTTATTCTAAAACTACTGTATGTCAATGATTATAAAAAAAGATTCTATAACCGTTGCTGTATTAACTCCGGCTCTGCTTTGGATTTTTTAAAGTGTCTAAAGCGGCCCACACACTGGGGCGCTTGTGCGCGCACATGTGACGCGCGAACAGCTCTACGCACATGCGCCTCAATGTGTGGGTAAATGTGCCCATGCTCGCGACGCGCATGCGAGGTGCCTGGTGCCTGCCGCCGGACCTTCGAGCATCGTCACAAGTGCGCGAGCTTGTTATGATGCGCGCCAGTCTGTGGGAAACAAAGGCACATGTTCGCAAGCTAGCAGTACTAACCATAGCTGGATATACTGTAAATCGACAAATACAAGGTCTGCGCCTGAGTGGCACAGTGTAACATTAACTGTCCCACGTGTTGTATTTTATTTGTCCTTGTTTTTAGGTTATAAACTTCTTTGTTGTGCGGTTAAGATGTCCTGTAATGACATAAGAAAGTTTTGGTCTAAGGTTATAGAGCTGTATAGATCACAAACGTGTTATTAGGACGTGAAATGTGTAAACTTTTAGTACCTACATACAACTAATAACTCGCCCTATCAATTGAAGTATAATCACGTCTGATGTATTTTTGAAGGGAAATTTGATTCTTTAGTGACTTTGCTTGCAACTTTAAAAAATTTCCTTTGTTAAAAAAAACCCCAAAATGAAAAACAAATAGTAGGTAATAATTACAAGGGGGCGATGCAAAGGAGTTTATTAGAATGATTTCAATATAACATATAATATATGTTGAATTTGCTGTTATAGCCCCCTATTTGAATCGTCAAAGACGGTGGTTTGCGCGCATGTGTCTTTAGTGTGTGGTTACCAATTGAATCGCACATGTGCCACGAGCCGCTCGCAGTCACCTCATCACGAGCCACGCAAGGCACATGCGCGCTAGTGTGTGGGCCGCTTAAGTTATGAAAATAATGTTATTGGTATGTTTTCATGGAAACAGTATGAAAATTACAATGTATAGATGTTTTGTATGAATTTGGAGGCTACTTAAAAATTCTAACTGCTTAACATGTGTTCGATTAACTTAACATAACTTGCAAATCACATTGTTTTTTATATGTATATTTAGGTAAATTAAGTGATTGTGTTTTGCTAAACCTATGCTTAAATTAAACTAAAGAATATCATCAATAACTAAATTGTACGTTGTTGATTTTTGTTTTCTAAAATTTGTTGTATATGTGTAACTACAGGGTGGTAAAAAAGTCCCTGGACAGTTAAATATTTAAAAAAATAATGCAGATAGAGCTACAATACTTGGTACAAAGTTACAGGGCATAAAACTCTATTTTAACACATATTCAGTGATCCAATAACTCTTCAGGGGGACGGCCCACAAGGAGTCAGAAGAAAATCTTAAATGGAAGCATAGGTCAATATGCACATAAAATTAAAGGTCTTTTTTAGTAGAATACAATGCCGCAAACCGCACTTCAAAGGTTGATCCTGCGCAAAATGGCAGATGTTCAAAGATTTCTTGAATCCGCCATTTTGAATCTTTGAACGACTGCCATTTTTTACTCAGGTATTCTTTTGAGCTTGAATTTACGGCATCATAATCTACTGGTGAAGACCTTTAATTTGATGTGCATATCGACCTATGCTTACGTTAACAATTTTCTTCCGATTCCTAGGGCTGTGCCCCCTGAGGAGTAAGCGTATAATAGCAATGTAAATTAAATGAATCTTTGAACAACTGTAATTTTGCGCAGGATCAACCTTTTGAAGTGCGGTTTGCGGCATTGTATTCTACTAAAAAAGACCTTTAATTTTTACGTGCATATTGACCTATGCTTCCATTTAAGATTTTCTTCCGACTCCTTGTGGGCCGTCCCCCTGAAGAGTTATTGGATCACTGAATATGTGTTAAAATAGAGTTTTATGCCCTGTAACTTTGTACCAAGTATTGTAGCTCTATCTGCATTATTTTTTAAAATATTTAACTGTCCAGGGACTTTTTTACCACCCTGTATATTTAATTATCAAATTGTAATAATACATACTCTTATTTTATCTTAACATAGCTTTCAGTTCACATTTACTTTATTTGATACATTTATTATTTGTGTTTTGCCACACCACTGATTAAATTTAACCAAGGAAAATATCATAAAACCATTAAGCAGTACACAGTGTTCTTTTTTGTTTCTAAAATCAATGAAATATCTGTTACTATGTTTACTTAATGGTAAGTGTGAAAATATAAAGGCAATGGACGATGCAACTGATTAAAAGAACTGGTTTGTATATTAGGTTGTTTGTTGGTATTTTTGTAGAGTAGAATCAGAGATGCAATGAAACATATACTGTATTTGCTATTACATTTTTTAGTCCTTGATGCTTTGATAATCATATTAGTTTTATCTGCTGTCTTTAATGCTAAATTATTTGTTTAAAATTTTTTATAGTACCTATGGATATAGTTTCTTTAATATTTCAAAAGACTGTATTGATAAGGCACAGCAATATTTCTAAAGTTTATAACAGCTGACTTAGTTTTGCTAATGATTTTTTGTGAGTGAAGAAACTGAAGATGGAAGGATTTGTGATTTAATATAAAAAAGAGTGAAATTTAAAAAAAATGTTCATTTAAATTTAATAATTAATTAGTATTTTTGCAACTTCAAAATTGAAATTTAAAATGTCAATAATAAATTAAAAGATATATAATTAAGGGAGATGAATGTAAATCATGCATGTCAAAGTTTTATTCGAAGATTTGGTCAGTTTTTCTCATCTCATATCAGCCTACACAAGATTTAAAATTAAGCATAAACCAAAATGGTGGTATCCACTACTTACCAGATTTAAAAGTCATAACTTAAACGTTTCTATTAAGGCTATAAAAGTTGATTTTTGTTTCTAAAAGCATTGGAGGATGTGTAACTATTATATGCAACAGATGTAAAGATTAAAATGTTTCTATTTTGTGTCCTCTTCCCGTTGCAAAGCACGGGTACAACAGCTAGTACTATATATATGTGTGTCCGTTAGCACGATAACTTAAACAAAAATGATCCGATTTTGATGAAATTTGGCATAAACGTGTAAACCTATATTTATTCGAACGAGTTCGCGAACCGGCATGATCGGGCCATGGGAACGGGGGTTTTATGAGTTAAAAATGGGTTTTTTTTCTCATTTTTGAACCTAAAAAACATAAAATTTTGGAATATCTTTCCCAACCATTTTGTAGAGCTTAAAAAAGAAATAATTTAGTATATTGAAGCATTGTTGTGTGCCCAATGGTTACGAAGAAAATTCAAAAAAGTGTAAATTTAAAATTCCCATGTTATTCTTATGGAGAAAATGAAAACTGTTGTAGTTTACTTGTTTATGGATATATATTGATAAAATTTGGCAAATTTATCTATTTTATACTATAGCCTACTATTGACATTTGGTAAAAAAACACTTTTTACCTTCCCCGTAGCAGCAAACCTAAGCACTCGTTAAATCTAATGCTAATTAAATTGGGAATAAATATGTCTTATTTATGGAAATATTTTAGTTATAATGTAATCAGACAAGTGGAAATTCGCTTAGTCTGCAGGTTTTCTGCGGCGGGGGTATTTTTAACTTTGACCTTGACATGTTTTATTTACCTCTTAGCTATACACATCATGGTACTTACTATATTTGTCTATGAAAGCGATTTCTATACTTTCCTCAGACAAGGAATGTTTTTCATCCACAAGTGGGGAATACTTTGGCCCCAATCTTTGAAATCCACGACCCTCATACAGGGCTCCATCACCACCCAAAAGGAAACTATATGTAAACAAAAGTTAATTCATATTGTAACATATCATCCTCTCAAACTGCCTTGAAAAGAAAGATGGGCTTTTCAATTGAACTATCATCAAGTATATTGTAAGGGTCTTATTTTTTAAAAGGATTGTATTTCAATTCGAAAGACGATTTTATTTTATTTTGAGGGAATGTTATTTTACTTAGAAAGATAGTTTTATTTTTGTAAATATAAATATGATTTTAACCCTATATAATATGATATGATTTATAATATGATATAATATGATTTTTATGAGCGTGGGGGGAAGGGAAACGCGTGCAATAGTTATATATTGCACCGTACGTGATAAAAATTAAACGCTTAGGAAGCGTGTGCAATAGACGTATATTGCACCGCTCGGGGTTAGAATAGGCGTTAGGGATTTCGGCCCACGTTTACTTTTACCTAACGTCGACTTTCGGCCATCGAGGCATTATCCAAATTTATTTCCGTTCGATTACTAGGTCTGTGATAGCTGTGATGAAAAGAGTTATATTGGAGTAAGCTTTTGCTTGACTCATACTCATTTCTGAGCTTAGACTTAGTAATAACGTTAAATCGAACCTTGGACGAAATTACCCGCGCTTAGACTGTTTTATCCGGCAAAATTTATTTGTAAGGTGCGTTTTTCGACATCCCGGTAATTTTAACCTCACAATATTAATGTATAGTAATGTCTGTTTTTAGGTATCCATTAATAAGTAGCCTACTGTAGTATAGGTACTAAATAAACTAAACTAACTTCAAATATCACAAAAGAATTAATTGTTCAAAGAATAATTAAATAGTTAGTTATCATAAGAATAATTAGTTGTTATTGTTGAGACTTTCACTCCAACTTTTTTGTTCAAGAAATTTTAAGGAATGTAGGTAGGCAGGGGCGGCTCCAGAGTGGAGTTTTGTAGGTATTTCAAAATTATAAATAAATAAAGAAATTTAATTATATGTAAACAAAGGGAAAGCGTTAAACCTCATTATTTTGCATTTACATTTTAAAACTACCCCCTTTTTGCTCCACAAAGCCATTTGCTCCATCAAACATCTCGTCCCCAATCAAACTCCTTCTTGATCCTTTGTCAGGCCTACCAAAAAAGATATTCCTGGAGCCGCCCCTGTAGATTCCATATACTTTGTAGTCAGTCGGTTTTATAGCCGTGCACATGCTTAAATCTTTTTGTGTCGTGTCTCGTGTTGTATATGTACTTTACTCGTCCATGCCTCGCACCCACGACACAAAAAGTAAAACATAATACTTACTTAATCGCTTAGGAAAAATTGACATGTATGTCAATCAACACACATATCAATACCGGGATGTGAACCGGGCTAAGGTTCAGGGGGCTCACGCTTGCGTGGGTACGTGGCCTGGCGACCACGCGGACCCCAGCTCTCTCCAGTGGGGAGGCAATTGCCCGGTGTTAGAACCGGCACTTCAGGTAAACCATAGTTATGGCCGACTGGGAAGGCCAGCCACCTTGAAAATTAATAAGGGGAGAGTCCCCAGTGACATTCCCTCCATTCAGGGTGGAGGGGTGTTTAGCTCTCAGTGATGCCGTTAATTCCGCCTCTCCTCACCTACCTGTAACTGTGGTTCTTGGGCTTGTCCTGCCTGTTGTGTTCGACTGACATTATGTGAGGCATATCCTCGACTCTGGAAGTAGCCTCGTCCTGGGAGGTGAAAATCTAGCCCCCAAAGGGGAGGCAACTGCTCGGTGTTGGTATCGGCATTTCAAGTAGGCCACAGTCATGGACGACTGGGCTGGTCCCAGTGACATTCCTCCATCCAGGATGGCGGGGTGTTTAGCTCTCGGAGAGATGGAAGTGCGCCATCAATCTCCCACCTACCTGTGTCTGTGGTTCTATGGGTTTCGGCCCGCTTGTTGTGTACGACCAGCATTCAGTGTGGCAAATCCTCGACTTTGGAAGTAGCCTTTCCTGGAGGTGAAATCGGGCGAGTACCCGTAGCTCACGGGGACACTCTAGGGCTCTAGGGGACGTAACTTTCCGCAGTGTGAGGGTAACGGTTGTAGGCACTTCTCCAGCCAATCCCTGTCTCTGAGCACGGAAGGTATGGTTATCTGGAGTGTGGGGGGTTCTCCCTGGAACCTCAATTGAGTTAAGGGTGTCGCCACCTTTGGTGGATAGGTTCATCCGGGTGGGTCCCACTTCTATACCTGCCTCCTTTTGGGAAACCTTGATGGCCTGGCAGTGATGTTGGGTCTGACGGGCAAACGAAGTAGATTGGGTGCTGGGTCCGAGCCCGCCAGGGATGACCGGGGATCTATCGCTCTGGTTATCTCTGGTTTCCCAGCAACTGGGTAAGGCCTCTATTGGGTAGTGGTGTAAATAGCTGACGGTCCCCTTCCTTCTGGCTATGATGGCGGGTTCTGCCTGTCAGGGATTAGATAGGTCCCGAGTGTTGCTTGCACTATGGCACGTCCAGGGCACTCCTTTTAGTCCAAAGGGCTTCGGCCTTGTTGGAACTTACTTGGGGTGGGCGTGGGAATAAAGTAGCCGGTATCCCTGGTTAGGATTGAGGGGCAACCCTCTCTCCGATGGGCTATTTGCCATTTGGCAGCCGGTGAGTGTGATGACCTTAAGTCATCCTCCTATGGTGTCGCAAAGGTTGGTGCGTCAGTTCCAATCGGCATCATAGGTCCCGGGTTAAGTAATAGGACGCAATGGTCATTTTGTTGGGTGTGTCGGGGAGTTTCGGCTCTTCTGACAAAGAACATAATAAAAAAAAAAGAATGTATATGTACTATTTATTAATTGACACAATGAAAATGAAGAAATCCCGTGAAAAATTTTAATACCACAGTATTTTAGTTTAGTGTATGACTACACCCGACAATGGAGTAATCTCCGATACGGCCGTAGTGTTATGACCAAACAAGGATTGCGAAGACAGCAAGTACCTAAAAATTTCTGCTACACTGAAAAATCATGCAAGTTTTAGTTTGTATCTTATTTTTTTAGGCCAAGAAACTGGGTCAGTTTTAAGATTCTACTATAGTTTTCATACTTATGCTTGATGTCTGGTACCCCCTTTTCTTGCTGGTGACGAAGTTGAAGTTCTTTTACTTTAGCAACACATTCTTTTTCAGTAAAGCATTGTTCTGTTCCTGTCCATGTTAATACCACTTTTTCGACCTACAAGGCAATGCAGTTAACCTCTTAAGGGAAAATGATTATTTCATGTAAAGAAACTACTAGTTCAGCGATTCCTACTTTTTTGTCTGGAGACCCAACTTCATTCTGGGCTTTTTGCAACTCCCATATTGAATAATTTAATACTCTCAGTACAGTTAGTTGTTGTTTAAATTTAATGAAAAAGACTCAAACTTTATTAGTACACCACTCTTCACATGTTACTTTATTTTTAAAATATGTGACCATATATTTTATTTGTAATAAAAAGTTTAGTGGTAATAAGTTAAAATCAAAGAAAGATCATTAACTTACAACAAAACACTTTGAGAGTGTTAAGTTTTCACACCCAAATCAAAATATAAACTACTAAGGGTATATACATTGTTTGGAAACCACTGGTCTAATTGTTAAAAATAGGTCTGTAAAATCTAAAAAAATATATTGGTTTAAGTTTTTCCTTTATGGATGACTTTTTTAATAAACCATGATTATTACCGTTTGTTCTAGCTTGAAAAATAAAAATAAATTTCAGATGAATTGATGTACAGTAGACTCCCTCTTATCCGGACACCTTTAACTGGACTACGCTCGGTGGAAATGACATCTCTTTAACCGGACAATTTTTAACAGCACATCAGTTTAACCGGTCTAGATCGGTAAGATCACGCGTCTTAATAATGTTCTCCTAAATTTAAATCAAATATGTATAGCCTACAGTGTGCATTTAAACGGTCTGTTTTAACAAGTTTTTGGGGAAATCGGTTTAACCGGAAAAACCGCTATCCGGACTGGCCTCGGTCCCGAGGAGTCTGGATAAAAGGGAGTCTACTGTAGATCACACAATTTAAGGTCCTTATTTATAACACTCTAAATTTCTACACCTACCTACCGGTGCTCTGAGTGTTGTAACAAATGTAGGATCTCTTGCTCCCCAATCACTTCGCTGCATCACTTTTGATGCTTTCTTTATTAAATCTTCAGGCTTTTCTCTTGGTTTATCATCCATATTTGGTTTTCCTTTTTGCCTTGTGTTGTCTTCTAAATTTCATTCTGATAATTCACAGCTTCTGTTACTAACTTTTTGGATGTGAATCAACTTCATCTTAAAATAAAGTACCTACTTTAAACCAATTAAAGACATGATGACAGAAATGCAATTACTCAGTCTGTGTCCTTTACCGAGGGCATGATTGGTCTATTTGATGGATGTTTGTTAGATAGTAGTACTTTTGCCAGTTACCAATGGTCATTTGCTATTTTATTATGATTTACTTATAGCCTTCTGTATATATACACCTTAAGCTTCACAATTCATGTTTCTAAATTGTAAACAACCTTATATTAAAAGTCTTCTTCTTCTTCTCTACACAGTTCACTTAAAAAAATCTGTTTAAAAATCTTATGGCGGTTTTTTAACCCCTTTAAGGTAAGGAATATCATTTAGGAAATTCATCCATATATAAATCCCAAAGTACCCATGAACTTTTGAGAAAATTACAAGTCACACCCCCATAAACCATATACTTAAAATGTTCGTCATGACGAGGAACCTTGCGCAAAACTATCCATTATTTCATAAATTGCCCTTTAAGGTCATGTAATTCCTTTCTAAAGGGAACGTTCTTTCCATATACCTAATGTTAAAAATACCTCAGCTGTACTTATGTTTGTTGTTCTTTCAATTTATTACCTTATTAAAATGAGGTGTGATTATTTGTTTGTATTACTGTATTCTGTTTTGGTTATTTCAGCTTAACTTAACCAATCAATACCACTTATGAAGTAAAACGGGGAGAAGCACGTGGGTAACAGCTAGTTAAGCATTAAGGAATACAGTAGACTCTCAGTAATCCGGCAGATATAGGACCGTAATACTGCCGGATTAGTGAAAATGCCGGATTACTGGAATGTAATCAATAAAAAAACTTAAAATGCAATTAAAACACGTCTCCGAAGAAGATCACGTGATCGGAAAACTGCTATTGCCGTGATCGGGCATGACGACGATGACGTTTCTGTAATCGTGGGAGACGATGATAATGTCTACACAGCCGCGGGAGATAATCATGATTTTGCCACGATTGTTCATGACACGATTGTTCATGACGATACGAAAACTGTATCCAGTTTTCCGTTATGAAATGTGAGTTTAGGTTTTAATGTGTTATTTCAGCAGTAAAAATCAAATGGTTTTTCAATATAACCTTGATTAATATAGTATAAATATTGAATTGAGCCTTAAGCTAATTTTACCGAGCTCTTTCTCTAAACTATGTGTTGTAAACTCACCTCATAATATTCATTTTAGGCTAGGCCTATTCTATAAACGTTTAAAGTTCATAAGTTAACAGAGATATACGAATTACAAAAGGTGTTTTATTGAAACAAATGAACAAACATGCAATGAGATTTAAAAGACTTAGCGTTATAATGAAAGGACTGACAATGGAGTGTGGGGATTGAAATTAAAATGAAATAGAAGATAAGATTGAAATAAAGGTTCAAATAATTTAGATGTGCTATGTCTCCGGGTAGGGTGTCGTGCTGGCTTGAATGCTAAGAATTAATTAATTAAATAGTGTTTAAATAATTAAGGTGTTAATCTTACAAAATCCCAACAATGAAAAATCTAATTTTGATGTTGTCCAAAAAGGTAAGTCCAATGTGCACTGAATTTAAAAGAGTTTAAAAGAAAAGTTTATACTTAATTTTGAAAATAACAATGATGGAGTTGAGTCCTCTTGAGGTTTACTGTGATATAACTTGATATAAAGTGGTTTTCTTGATGATATTAATTAATTTAATTTAGATAAAATCTGGACTCCTTCTTTTAACTAACAGTTTCAACTTCCACTCTGGCTTCCTTCTCTCCCCAATCTCTATGTTGACATAATTAATTGTTGAACACATGGATCACTGTTTCACTGCTTCTTGAATTTTGATTCCTTAAGGACTAATTTTGAAATGATATTATAAGAAATTTAGATGTATTGCAACTCTCTTACATATTTAATAAATAATTAAGTTGTGGGATTTGTAAAAAAAATATTTAGGCTATGGAATGAATATTATTATAATGATTAATTGAACAGATTAATGAAATTGTATAAATTAGGAAAATGAATACTAGGCCAGCCTTTCTGAGGAGTGATTAATAACAAAGGTGTATGAACAGAAGTTAACATTTTAAGAAACTTAATACTAAATAATGAATGAATGAAATGAAATATTACAGTTTATAATGCAGTTGTCTGCTTGCATTATTGAGCGGAGCTAGCAAATTAATATCCAATACTTTTCTAAAGTCAATGGTACATCTGTTCCTCGTAAATGAGGTTAAATACTTGCAGTATCCAATTTCAATGGTATATTTGGTTCACATAAATGGAATGACTATTCGCCATATTTGCAGTATTCAAGGTCAATTAATTATAAGTCTAATTCACGTTAATGAATTGTCTACTTGCACTGCAGGAACCAAAGACTATGTTTCATCTGGTTTTCATATATTAAATGTCTACTTACAGTATCCAATGTCAACATTTGGTTCGCAACAATAAAATGCCTATTTGCAGCATCCAAAGTCAGTGGTCATTGGTACGTTTGATTCACTTAAATGAAATGGAATGCCTATTTACAGGTTCTAAAGTAATGGTACGACTGGTTCACGTAAACGAATTGTGTACTTGCAGTATCTTAACTTAATAGTACATTTGGTTCACGTAAATTGTCTTCTTCCAGTAACATGCCTAACATAACTATACATCTACATAACACAATAAACTAACATACAGTAACTATAACTATAACATGAAATAAACCCCTAAATATGGTGTTATTCTAATCTTATCTTAGTTTAAACAATAATAATTACGAGGACAGAGGTTTTAAAGTACAAGGTTTAATGGTATATAAAAATGATTGAAATAAGGATACAAAAATTCTCCAAGGGTGGGGATTCGTGCAGACTGAATCAAAAGATTTCGTTGATGCCTAATTTAAATTTTCAACAAGTACGGTAAGTTATAAATTAAATAATCTTTTAGAAACAATAAATAGGAAGGATTTTGATTTTAATGAATGTAGGTAAGTTGGGTCCAAATGGATGCTTGAGGAGTCTATTAATAGTCTGAGTTAATAACTTAATAAATGGAATTTTCTCACCAATCTTCTATAATAATAATTTTCTTCTTAACGTAGTCCTAAATTCTTCTTTCTTAAGTTAACTTGATTTGGATATTATGCCAATACTTTATTTTATAATTTCACAATTTATTTCACAACTAATAGTTTAAAAACTGTATGTTCTTCTTGGATGCTTTAACTGCACTGTCCTGTTCATTGTTGTAAATCCTTTCTTAAAATATGGGGTTCACATAAATAAAAACATGGTTGAATTTTACTTGTAATCTTGAACCTGGATGCACTGTATTTTAAATGGAGGAATTGTTCTGAATACTAATTTTGGATAAGCCAATGAATAAATTTTGATTATGAATTATATATACGTTGAGACAATAATGGTTTTAATAATATTAACAATGAACATGAGAGTGAAAATTTAAAAACGTACGTTTTCATGTCCCTGGCCTTTTACTTCGTAGATACTGGATTTGTAGTTTATTATTATGTGTTTTAATATTTTTTGGGACGGGGGCAACATACTACACACATTTATTTGGGTTTAAATAGGTTCTAGGTATTTTTTTCGTATTTTTAAAGGAACCAGGACATGATTGAGCCATGCGAACGAGATCATCTTGAAAATTAAGAAGTTAAAGGGGGCAAAGCCCGCAGGTTACAGCTAGTAAACTAAATAAATGTAATAAAAAATGTTTAACTGTTATTCAAATATTCAGAAACTAGCAACAGTGCCCGTTGTGGTTAAATACAACGGTCTCTAGTAAAATAATGGTTATGAAATCCATACACCACTTTACTCACTAATATTAATGGCACAGTTTAAGCACATAACATTAGAATCACACATTTAACATAAGGAACACACTTTAAACATAAATGCAAATTGTTAAAAAACAACAAAAAATCAAAGAAAAATTAAATAGATAACAATACTGTATAACAATAAGCTGTTTAATTATTGACACATGTTTCGTATGATTAGATTATGCATACTGGTAAACCAGTTATTGCCATCTATAGAAATAATTGGTTTTAGCGAATTTCCCTATAGGGAAGTAGCTATTACCGTACGTGGCATGGTAAGACCTAGGCCCGGGACCGATTTACTTTTTCATTTTGATGTCCCCAGAGACCAAAAACACAATTCGTTCAAATTTTTATATATGTATATCTATACAGGGTTAGTAAAAAGTGTGGAGACCCCCTGTTATTTTTTTAACGGCCCATACTAGAAAAACTAAACCTGGCACACCATTATGGCATGTTATGAAGTACTTTTTGGGCACAACCGCCACTTGGTGTTCATCCCCAAAATGGGGGATTTAGGGGGAAACTAAAAAATTTCAAATACAAAGACCCATCGAGTGACCCCTCATTTTGAAGGTCCTGGTAAAAGATGACCAACAACGCGAACTAGAGGTCTCTATCTCAGTTCAGTACAAAATGGCAGCCAGTTGAAATTCTCATAAGTTCCCAAACCCAAAATGGGGGATTTTGGGGGAAACTCAAAAATTTTAAATGGTAAGCCCTATCGAGTGACCCCTCATTTAGAAGGTCATAATAAAAGAAAACTAACAACGCAAACTATAGGTCTCTATCTTAACACAGTAAAATATGGCAGTCAATTGAATATAAAATTGCAAGTTATTTCCGATTTCTAAAGATTTCAATCAGCTTCCATTTTTTACTGGAATGAGATAGAAACCTCTAGTTTGCGTTGTTAGTTTTCTTTTACCAGGACTTTCAACATGAGGGGTCACTTGATGGGGCTTATCTTTTAAAACTTTAAATTTCAAATAAACTTTTAAATTCAAATTCTGAGAATTTCAATTGGCTGCCATTTCTTACTGGATTGAGATAAAGACCTCTAGTTTGCGTTTTTGGTTTTCTTTTACCAGGAACTTCAAAATGAGGTCACTCGATAGGTCTTTGTATTTGAAAGT